ACAAAATTCAGATTCATAGTGCTAACCATGAGTAATTTTGAATACTTTATTATTTTAATACCCTTTTAAAGGCCAACTTAAAAATATTCACAACAGCTTTATTCATATAACCTTAAACTGGAAACTCAAAAGTCCATCAACAGGATGAATGGATAAACAAATTAAAATACACACAAAAGACTAGTCAGCTAAAAAAGAGGGAATGAACTACTGAACCTTGCATTAATATAGATGAATTTCAGAGCAGCTGGCTGAGTGAAAAAAGCCAGAAGCAAATGAGCATATCCTGTAGAATAATATTTATGTCAAGTTCTGAGGCAGGCAAATGCAAATTACGGTGATAGAGATCAGAACAATGGAAATGGAGAGTGAAGAGATCAGAAAGGGGCCCAAAGAGGGGATGGTTACACAGTTGTATACACTTATTAAAACTCAAACAACACACTTAAAATCTGTGTATTTATTGTATGTAAAAAGTACACTCCAAATTAAAAAGTTGTATAGACATCTAGAAAGCCACAGGAATCTTATTTTCTGCTTCTGAACTCTTGGGACAGAGGGAATATTAAGTATCAAAGAAAGATTCTCACAAAAAATTAAGAAATTGTTAGATAACAATTCTAAGTATAGACTCCCTAATCGTGAAAAACAAAACTTTTCATTTGAGTCAATAACTTAAAGAAAATATACGGACACAAAAATATCCACTGAAGCTAGCAGATAATAAAATATTTATTTTATTGTTGTAAAATTAAAAATAGTAGACAAGCATATGTAGTTACAGTTCCAAAGCAGAGCAATACAAATATATAAATTATTGCAGTTTTAAAAGGAAAATATAACAGCTAAGTAATGTCTAAATAAACTGTTTTGAAACCAACTTGGTTTTCATCACTGCAGCTTCATTTTCTTTTCTCAAAGGTCTTAGACAATTTTGTACAAATTTCTACTCAAGTTTAAAGCAACATTAACACACACACAAATTGTAAAAGTATGAATGGCATTTAACAAAAGTCACTACTCAACACTTTCTAAAATGCCTCTTTTGGAGGCAGTAGAATGGAAATAAACATTCTACACGTTTGAAAGAAGAAACACACATTTACTAAAATTCCCTTTGCTTTCTGTGCAATTGAGGGAAGTTCAACTAACACTTTTTCTGAAGGGAGGGTGGAGGGCAATACTCATCTTCATGATTTTTAAATTTGTTTTTAATTTGGTAAGGTTAAAATTGTGGACTAATTTAACATCACTGAAATGCATTAGTAATCTGCATTATTTTAAACTAAAAAGAATAGGAAAAGCATATGTTACAAACTAGGTGCTCAAGAAATCTCAACGCTAGAGACTTGCTATGATATGGTTCATAGCAAGGTGACCAAGCTGCTTAATAGGTTAGACTACATTATCATAAGGGCAGTTATGAAAGGATGAAGTGAATGAAAATACTTAAGATGCTGGACAGAACCTTTTTATTCCAAGCACAGTATTACAGCCCTCCTCCAAGATACCTTTACTTGTGCCAGAGCCTTATTACCTTACTATTTTGGTAAATAAACTCTCTCCCACCCCACCACCACAAATTTCCTCAAATAATTATTTCCACCAACCTAAAGTTAAAAATGCAATTGAACACTGAAATGAAATCAATTATCTTTGCTTTACAGCCACATCTGAACAAAAGATATTTAAAAAAAATCTATTTGTAGAGTACTAAACTTTTTATTAAGTATTTAAAATTACTCACATATCTTACTTTAGCATAAAAATGACACTACAAGAACTTTACACTGTACCATTTGAAAATTTTTTATGTCACGTAACTTAATTTTATGGTCACTAACCTGAACCTCCTACTAAGCTACACAAATAATTTCTTTAAAAGTTCCTACTGAAGTTTTGAGCATATACATTTTGTATTACATTTTACAACATTAATAACACTAGCAGATTTCTTCCAAAACAAAATAAAGCCAAAACTGGTAAACATTAACACACAGACATCCATCCCAAAATATTTAAAAAAACCAAAATGCGGCAAAAACTGACCGAAAGCCTCAACACTGTAAACACCTAGGTAAAAAAATATATAAACAAAAAAGAATGAACTTTAAACCATTTTCAGTGATAAAGAATACAGTAAAATAAAAAACCTGAGAAATCTCAAGATGCTTGACAAGATGCCAACAATATATTTTGACTATATGTCTGAAATCACTTTCCAACATCCTCAAATGCATATAAAAATGGGCACTTTGTGGTGAAATGAACATATAATTTGAAAAACTAACATTTCTCTGCTCCAACAGTGTGTAAGCAACTACATAATGGAAAGAAACACTATCCTGCTGCCTGCATGCATCATCTATTATTGGTCTCTTAAGTGCATGCCTTTAAGAAAAAAAAAGACTAATTTGGATACTAAATACTAGGATCAAAGGATAATAATTGCAAAGTAAATAGGTTTTTAGCTTAAATAAAAGGCTGCAAGCATTTTAAATCTTTAAAGAGAACAATCTTGTGTGGTCAAAATAACTTTAAACTTCAAACTGATGTTTTAAACTTAATTCAACTTGTCTAATTATGAAATCTAAAGTGAAAAAATATTATTTCACTCCCTTTAATCATATAAGCTGTGAAGATGTCAATAATGGCTGATTAGCAGTCTCTTTTTTTACCATTTTTGAAACTAAAGGTATATGTGAGGTTTTCTTCTAAATTTCCTCAAAAAGTACTAACAACTCTGCAGAAAAATAGCCAAGCATGGTAACCAATATTTGCGGTATTTCATGTTCTCTGAAAACTCAACTCTATCCCTTACCCTTATTTTAGCATATACAATAATTGAATATTTAAGAAAACTAACATAGGAATATAAAATAAGTTTACCAAATATTTGGATAAACTGCTGTGAAATACTTTTTTCAAAAATTTTTTTTAACTAGGATATCCTTCCAAATTAAGTACTAGTGCGAGTACCAGCACCGCAGGTATTTTTTAAGAGCACCTTGCCTTTGAAGGGCTTAAGTAAGAAATATCTAAATGGAATAAATTAGAGTCCTCAATTAAGACCTTGGTATACACGCCCCCATCCAATTGTGTCAAACTCATTAGTAATGCTATAAATTTGCCAGAAACTCTAAGAAATAAGCAAACCTTCTTTGGATAACACTGTTATATTTGGGACTGCACCATATGGCTCATGTTCTGGCAACAAGCTACTACTTACATCAAAGGCAACACATCCCAAACTTTTACGACTGTCCCTAAGTGACCTAAATAGAACCACAAATGTGTACAAGCACCCTGGCTGGGAAGATTCTTAATGAATTATGCCAAAAAAGAGTCAAGTCAAATTTGAAAATCTGACCATAACAACGAAGCACTGAGATACTTATCGGCTTCATCAGGAAATGTCTTTATTCAACTTATAGTTTATAGATTCTGATATTGCACACATTCAATTAAAGCTTATCACAACTAAGGCAATGCATCTCCACTCCCTGGATTTTAAATTCATTCTCGGTGACTCAAAGGATTGAGAAATTGAAAACATCTTTCAAAAGCTCCCTCCGAAAAGCAGTTATGTCATATTTCAAAGAAAACAAAATCAGTGAGATATCAATTGATATCCTCAGGCAAATTTAACACATTTTAGCATTACAAAAAGTTGTTTTCTACTAGACTGAGGTGTTTCTTTGCTTAGTCAAATACTCTTTGTGTTCAAGACTAAAATCTGACCCAAACCAGGGCAGGCTGCCAAATTTAAGGCAGAAGTTATTCATATCTTTATGCGTGAAACTGCCAAATTAATGGGCTTTTCTGTGGATTCTTTCAAGCAAAGGATCTTACCTCATAAATACATTCTAAGTACCAGTTGAAAACAGAATTTAGAGCCCATTTTAATTCTGCATTGGTTATAGCTTTTACTATATTATTTGAAAACTTATCTAGCTGTTTGAGACAAACTATTCGGAATTCTTTGGAAACATGATAGGCAATAAGAGTATCCTCTTAAAAACGGACTTTTTTTTTGAATTAGAGTTCTGTTTTTGTGACTAGCAATCTTCTCTTTTCCTTTAGATTCTAAAGTTTAGAAAATGCTTTCTTTGGACACTACTTTCAGTGATGTTGATAACAGAATTTGGACAGTTAAAGGATTCTTGAACTTTTATCTTAAGTGGTACACAAAATGATTTTAATTTTTTTCAAAGATAGGACAACAATTTCATGGCATATTATATTTGAAGATAGACATTACATTTGACATGGAAGTGAGACTTGACTTAAATTCTGTCCAAATCTAACACATCAAAGTCATTAGAATGAAAGTAATAATGACGTAGAATAGGCTTTTACTTCTATGGAGACAAGCTGACATACAGAAACTAGATTAGCATTTTCTTCTTGGACTCATAACTGTTTTTGTTAGAAAAAAATAATGTCTTTTATTTTCCTGTATACTTGCTTTAAAAAGTTATTAATTCCTCTTTCATAAGAGTTATTAGAAGTCAAAACAATTCAACTAGATAGATTTCTATGCCAAAATACATTTATCTTTGGAAAATAAGATAACAGCTGTAAAAACATTATTAAGAGAATAAAATGCAGTGATCTGAAATATGGGTAACGTTCACACATGAAAGTGTAAATATAATATACAGAGCCATTCAAATACACATTTATAAACAGAATGAAAAGGTACCTAAAATATTATTTTTATATATAAAATTTTCATATTAAAATATTGCTCAATAAATAAGAGGTGATATTATGAATTCCATTTACCTCTTAAATGTTATCTTTAGTAGTTTAGACTAACCTAAGAACTTTGTTAACCTTCTGTTGTTCTGACAGGTGAATTACATTAAACCACGTTCAACAAAGTCACACTCTAACAGTATATTTAAGTAGTCACATGTGGTAAAAGTTAGGGAGGGCTGTTTAGTAATTATGGGAAAAAAGATTTCCCAAATGAACCAAAATGATTAACCCTAGAAGACTAGAGTGTAATGATCTGCTTTATTTGACAAAGATGTTAAACACTGCCTTAAGTTTTGCAAATTTAATGACCATAAAATAATTGACCATAACTTTCTTCAACTTCTTCAAAGTGTGCATGCCCGGCAGCCCAAAAAAATGGCAGGCCATAGGAAGGACGTGTAAGTTTAGAGTTCAGTTGTTTATGGGTAGGTGTGACTTCATTCCCGTTCGTCCCATTTGCAGACACGGTAACTTGGAATAGTTCTTGAGAAGCTGTTCGATGGCAACGTGGCGGACATGGAGCTCTGAGGCCAAAGAATCTTTTTCTTGCACTTGGTGGGCTAACTCTTCAAAAACTTCTGTAAAGATTTAAAAAGTAGTTCCATTTTTAGTACACAGAAAGCTAATCTATGATTTATATTTCAAGTACTTTAATTAAAATGAATGCACTGGGCAAATGTTTGCAATGAAAGTAGTTTGAAACCAAGGAAACGGTTGTGTTTTGACCATCCTAGGAAGTTGTATGCTTTGCATAGCCAACTGGAATACTGTTTTTCTTTTCTCCATCAAATGAAACTTGAGAGTCAAGCAATGACTTAGAGATGCATAGCAGAAATGGCAGTTACAACTACCTCTGAGATACTTTTCTCAATCTGAACAGATAAACAGGTTCAATCAATTTCTAATATGACTTATGGACAGTAATGTGCCCATTAATACCCAGGTCTGGAACCCCCCTAAGAGGCTTTGGAATCAGACTACTGGAGTTTTGAATCCTTGTTCCGACTCTCACAAGTCTCAGGCAAGTGACTTAAACTATGTTTTTTTTTTTTTTTTTTAATAAATTTATTTATTTGTTTTTGGGTCTTCGTTGCTGCGTGCGGGCTTTCTCTAGTTGCGGTGAGCGCTTCGTTGCAGTGCTCGGGCTTCTCATTGCAATGGCTTCTCGTTGCGGAGTGCGGCTCTAGGCGCACAGGCTTCAGTAGTTGTGGCTCGTGGGCTCAGTAGTTGTGGCTTGCGGGCTCTAGAGTGCAGGCTCAGTAGTTGTGGCGCACGGGCTTAGCTGCTCTGCGGCATGTGGGATCTTCCTGGACCAGGGCTCGAACCCATGTCCCCTGCAATGGCAGGTGGATTCTTAACCACTGTGCCAGCAGGGAAGTCCTAAACTATGTTTTAATTTCTTCTCATATATAACCTCGATAATGAAAGTAAGCACCTCACAGGGTTATTGTGAGTATTAAATAAGATCATACTTGTAAAGTACTTACTGCAGAATAAGTACTTGATAAATATAAGATGCTATTATTATTATCTTATTATTCTGAGAGGGTGTGTGGTCAAGAAAGACTACTAGCTTTGGAGTTAAAGACAGGGGTTAGAATCCTTAATCTGTTACTGACTGAATGCATGATCTCTCTAAGCAACTAAAGCAACTGTAAGCAACTTAATGTCTCTGAAGCACAGTTAGTTTCCTCACCTAAATGGAAATCAATTGTAGAAAAAAAAAAAGGAAACAGTTGGGGAATTTGAACTGTTTCAGCATCCTATTTGATGATGTTAACAAATTACTAGCCATTTTTTTTTAAAGATGTGATAGAGGTTGTGATTGCCTAAAAAATAATGTTATTTTTTTGAGAAAATCCTACACTATTTATGGACGAAACAAAATGTTGTCTGGGATTTGTTTTAAAATAATCCATCCTGGAGGTAGGGATGGGTCGAGGGGAATGGGTGCACGAAGAGATGACGGAAAATTAGCTACGCTTTTGATTATAGTTGAAACTGGGAAAGATAGGTCAACGGTTCCACTATATTATTCTGATTACTTTTGTGTTTAGAAAATTTAATAATAATTAAAAAAATGGGGCCAATACCACCTGCCTAAAAGAACTGCTAAGGAGCACACCTGCACAGTGCCTGGTACAATAGTATGTAGTCAAAAACATGTTAGTAAGAGGTAGAGATTAAGTTGTTGTCTCCGTTTTCACCTAAAAAAAATCTATTTCACCTGCAGTTCATAAAGAATAAGAAGAATTCTTTTTGCTCTGGAAACTCGAACAGGTTCTAATCCCATAATTTAAATGCAGATGAAGCTAACAGGATTTTCTGTATCAAATTTTGCACATGTAAAAAGCACTGACACTGAGTCTTTACCCTGTATTTGTTGTCGGAGCTCTGCATTCAGTTGCTTTACCTCACCAAGAGTCATCAAATTCACTGAAACATGAAAACATATTCATTATTACCATGACAACCTGGGAAAAGAAGTTATCTAAACCACCAACACAATATCCTATTTAAAAGAAATATTTGCACTTATCTTCCCACATAACATTCTACAGGGCCCCAAGATTCATTCATTAACTCCTAAAGTGTTGAGTTTTCAAGTTCTGACCACAATCCACAGTAAGAAACATTTCACTCCCAGTCTACCTCCACCTGTAATAAAAGGTTCACTGAAAAATTCTTAGCATTAGGTCCAGTGGATTCTGATATTTCTCATTCTGTTTCAGTTTTTAAAAAGTGCTAGTCACTACCCATCAAGTTGATTTTGCTTAAGCACTACATGCTTCATGATGCGTAGCTTGAAAAACACTAAAGTGCTGTGGAAATAGTTTGAAAAATCAATTTGTCTACCTAGCTATATAACCTTAGATAATTCATATGTAGAATCAAGGAGTTTTATAAAAATATACCCAAGGGCCCTTCTAGGTCTAAGATCACTTGATTTTAAGTCAATTAAAATTATCTTAGCTCCTAAGAGTTTTTGAAGAAATAATATGCAGACTGAATGAGTCACTTTTTCCAAGTACACACATTACCTTTGGCCTTTAGTGAAATGTCAGATTTCTGCTTTTGAAATGCCACCCCCAATTAGTCTTGTAGGGATTAGCAATGTGCCAGTGTGTGTTTGTCAATGGTTGAGGTTGTACTTCTAAACTATATGAACCCTGAACTTTCCAATTCACAGTTGTTGATTCCATTCCGTTAATAATTTTAAATGGCAAAACAAATGATGGAACTGCAGAATTCCAATGGTTTAGGACATACTAAGGAATATTCCAAAGAAATGACGGAAGAGTTTTAAGACATCTCATTTTTGCTAGGGTGAACCTGTCATTTAAATACTGTATTTACCAAATCTATAATATCACAGCAAAATTCTTGACATATCACATATATAAAACATATAAAACCCCAACAAAACTCCAACCTTTACCTTTTCTCCCTAGTTTTACTTACATTCTTCTCTGCTGTAATGTGGATGCTGGGTATGGACATTAGCCTCTGGATTAGAGACTGTCTCTTCTTTTTTCTGTTCCTGATTTTGACTATGAGGCCACAATTCACTATTGTGGCATAAAGTGGCACCTGAATCTTGTAACACAGCAAGCCCAAAGTCCGTATTTTCCCTCTGTTCCAATATTCTTTGTGTACAGTTTGAGAGGCCACCTGCATTTCCATCTATCCACTTTGCAGAATACTTTGGTACTTGGGAGTCAAACTGTGGGAGTAACTTTTTATCTGGCTTATGCCTGAAATTAAACAGGTGATGCTGGGGATTTTTAGAACGTTCGGAATCTGAATCCAGATCCTTATTTTGTGCATATTGTACAATCCAGTTTATCTTCTTACTCAAAATAGTTTTAACTTCTTCATAAGTACTTTTTGAAAGCTTAGATCGAGGACAATCCTGGTTTGCAATCAAATGGTATTTTTCAAAGCAGTCTTTATGGCCCCTTAATGATTTGGTGTGCAAGAGATTAGATTTTGGTATTCCTAAAGAAAAAAAAAGAAACAGAAGACTTGAGACAGTTTTGTTTTTTATAAGGTGCATTAAGAAATACAAATCCTAGTAAAACACAGTCTCTGATAATTTGTAAACCAGAGGAAAAATGCTGAAGAATATTGGTATTAATATAAAATACAGCCTAATAATTTATGCTTCAAGTTAACTATTCAGTAAATTCTGAATAGCAGAAATATTAAACTCTTATGAATAGCAAAGCCTTTCTAAGGGCTTAATGATTCAATTTCAACCTCAGCCCAGAGGCATGTTGTTGCATAATATTAAAAAATACTACTAAACTAGCAGTTTACATTTACAGAATCTTGGCCTTGATATTATAGTGCTTTCTTCACTAATCCTCCTGAAGTACACTTGAAAAAAATTTCTATTATAGGCTCAATAAGAGAAATGCTTGACAATTCTTTTCCCAACAAAAAACACAGTAAATCATAAACTTAAGTTATTAGTTACGTTTTTAATGGGGAAAGATAAACCAGAACCAGAAAAATACACATTAATAAAAGCCTCAAAAAGTCGATGAACTGTTTATTTTTTTAAGTAAGAAAAGCATCTAAAATGTTTTTACATGTTTGATACTTATTAAAACTTTACCAAGATAATTTTATCTCTAGAAGAAATGCATTACACACAATTATTACTCACATAGCAACACATTCAGTCTACGAAGATACAATAGCCAGTATAATTCTTGAACTCACAAGTGTTCATTATGCACCATAAATAATGGAAATATTCATATTACATGTTTATATTTCCCAACTTTTTAGTACGGCTTAAGCATACTATCTCAATTGTTTTTTTAAAATACAGAATACCTTTTCAAATACACAACACACTTCGAAATATAGAATACATTCATACATTTTCATAAGTTCAAACCATTTAAGGTCAAACAGCAGTGCTTTTATACTGAAGGTGAATAAGGGATGTGGAACTGAAAATTAATGCTTGCCAGAATTAAGCAGTCTAAATCTGCTTAGCTTTGAAAACAGAGTAAGTGGAGAGCCACTCAGGTGCTAGGTTAAAAAAAAAAATTTTAGCTGACTTCGTCAGAAAAAATTACATTCTGTATTCACCCCTTGTTTTAAAAATTGAAGTTGTAACAATTTTATTAACTGAACTGCAAACGCTGGCTAATACTAAGATAATGAAGTATTTGTGCTTTAATGGCATTAAATCAGGTATAAAAGTGCTTGCGAATACTAATTTGTTCCAAAATGACATAACATCAGCCAATGGTGGGTCCTGCTAAGACTGCCAAAACCAGTGCTAACTGGGCTGTCAGTTCCCTCACAAGTAAGCTATGGGGCACACCTCCTAAACACTAACAGTCTAAGCAGACAAGAGCCAACGACTCTCACCAGGTAAACTCAACTATCTCAGCCTTGTTTCTTCCACTGAGTGTAAAAACTGAACTTAAACAGAATGTCATACACGTTTTATTTACCCCTTTGGTACCTGTACTGCAACTGTGTGTGTATATATTTTTTACCAGTTATTGTCTGGTTGGGTCAAATTTCCAGCAGAATTAAAATATTTAAGCACAAAACCTCACAGCTGTATTTCAAAACCTGGTAAATTAACATAAAAAGGAAGTTTACAAACCTTGATTAGAATAATATTAAAAGTATTGTTATTATGCATGTTTTATAACATAAGTAAGACAAAAAGGTAGTTAGTATCAATTATAGACAAAATAAGAAATACCTCCATTCTGCTGTTTGATTCTAATACTTACTGCTAGGCAGAGAGAACCTGATAGTTTGCTTACTTTACTAACTTTGGAGGATTCATTAAAGAGCTTCCTTACTCTTTATAAACTCTCTTAGGGCTCACTGCCCTAAAATGAGGCAGACGGCTAGCCAATCCCTGAAACAGTAAACAGTCTCATTCTCGGTCCACCGCCACAGCACTAATCATGTACCAGCTTTAGCTCAATCTAAACACTGTAAATTGTTTCTCCTTTACTATGTATGAAAGGAAATCCTTTAGCATATAAAAAGGGTTCTAAACTAGGCTAAAGAAAGGCATTATTTTTTGCTGTTTTGTGTGTGTGTGTGTGTGTGTGTGTGTGTGTGTGTGTGTGTGTGTGTGTGTGTGTGTGTG